TATCTATCTATCTATCTATCTATCTATCTATCTATCTATCTATCTATTCCTTTTTATAGTCGACTAAGCTAAACTCAAATTGAAAGTCAATCAGTGTTTTGTGTCTTAATAATTTTCCACCTAATGAGGTGTTTAACCTGTAAATTGTGCTTTCATTCAATGTATTGGGGCAAACACTATCAATAGATGATCACCAAATCAGCAAGCTCTCCAGAAGTCCATGAGCTGATTCTATCGAAAAGGGAATTTGAAAGGAAGGAGAAGAAAAATGAGGATGTTTACAAAGGAACCATCTTAAACAGGCAGGTGAGTGCCTCTCTGTCCACATCTGGAAATATCGCTCTGGTGTCGGTTCTGTGTGTCGGCTGATTCGACCGTCTGCTGACGTTTCAGCCCTGCGACTCATCGCACGTGTCAAAGGACGAGAGCTTCCTCCGGGACATCATCGCCGAGGAAACCGAGAAGGAAAGCTTCACCGCAGTTGTGATCACAGGAGTCAAGAAAGATCACATCGACTACCTGAAAAAAAAATTCAACAAGCTGGCTACAGAGCTTGCGTGAGCTCACTCACCTGTATCATGTATTTTCAGGTCCTCAGGCTTCTACTCAGTGTCGTTTCTATATTCCAGGCATGTTTATCACTATTACATTCATGGAGTTGATGGAAATAACAAGCGACAGGCCTCAAAACGGCCCAGCGATTTCCTGAAAATTGACATTCTGGTGAGACTGGGTGTTTGGTGAGTGACCTACCTAGTAGTTGGTAGCAGGGTGTTAACCTAACTTCTCATTGTTGATCAGCTGACTTTGTGGGAGAAGTCCTCCAAAATTGTTCCTGATATACACCTCCGGGATGTGGATAATGACCTGCAGACGCTTTACATCGAGACTGCAGTAGAAACCTTTGAGTTCAGGGCCTTCGTGGTTAAAAAAGAATGCAACGACCGTCAGCGTAAAGGTGGCTCTGATGCTGACAGTGGAGGGGGTCAGCAGGACAGCGAAGGGGGCACAGTGGAGGGGGTCATTCGCTACCACCCCTTTCTGTACGACACAGAGACCTACCCCAAAGATCCAAACGCTGCTGCAGGTATTCAGATTGGACTCTCTAAATCCATTTTCAGGACATAACTCTTCAAAGCTTGCCTTTAAAGCAGATTACGTTGGGTTTTTTCGTTTTTTTTGTTTTAGCTTCTGTCAATGATGATGATGATGATTGTGAAAACGGTCCTGTCGCCCAGAATCGGGCAAGAGGGACGAAGGACATCTTTGAATGTTACTGGAATGGGCGGCTCATCCCTTACACCACAGTGTCTGAGTGAGTACTTCTTTGGACCTCAGTTTGACAGATTTTTCTGCACATATTCACAGTGGTCAGTCGTTAAATCTGCGGAGAAACCAACACAAATTTCAGCTGCTGTTTAAAAGAGGATAATGGATTATTGGCTTTATACCTATCAAACATCAGTTAGCATTAGTTACGTTATCATCGGCCCAGTTCCAGGTTGACCCTCCCCAGTGTGCTTATAGGCTCTTGAGGTTGAAGCTTAACACTGAATCATAACATGTAATAATTTAATTGAAAATGTCCAATTATTCATTACTGCTGTGTTTTTCTGCCCATGTGTTCCAGGTTTGACTGGTGCTCTTTAAAAAATAGAGATCAAGTACCTGCAGTGTGTTTTAGTCGTTTGTCAGGGGTACTTTTCACTGATGACAGATTCCAGGTCTCTACCAATAAGCTGCACTTCATGGACCTCGAGCTGAAACTGAAAGATAAAGAAACCATATTCACCCCCATTCTGAATCCCCAGGTGACAATCTGCACATGCGCCAACTCTTTGTCAAAAGCAACATTGACTTAAAGTCCTTTATTAAATGACCTAAGTATTTACAGTTTTCTGCCACGTTACAGACCTGTTTTTGAAGCTTTACATTTTTTTTATTTCATTCATTTTCTTTGCTTAGCAACAGAAACACTCCAAAAGAGGACACATACAGAGGGATTTCATGCTGTGGCTTAAAAACTGTCACGTGAAACACGACAAAGAGGTGAAGTTTCGAGGCTACAAGGAGACCATATCACGGCCAGAGTTAAACAAGAAAATGCAGCATCCCTGGGCGACCTTCTCATCCATCGAATGGGACGGGAAAACATACAAAGCAGGCCAACTTGTGAGAGTTTCTTCATCAGTACTGCTGAATCTTTTTGTCGTTTGTTTGTTAAATCCCTTCTGGTTGCTTCAACAGTGTTTGTGTCTTCGTGCAGGTGAAGTCTCAGAACACGTCGCCCATTTACCACGGCACCATTGTTGGGTTCCTGTTGTTCGGAACCTACGGTGAAGACGTGTTTGCCACGGGAGGTCAGGTGGAAATAAAAAGAGTAAGACAATCCCATCGGCTGCTTTTAAGCCAAGATTAAGGCTTCAATGCGTTATTAAGGCTGGTTCTGTTCATGTTGCTTACTATATCTTATCATCAATGACGTCATCTCCGGTTTTTTCCACTTTTAGAATAAGATAAAATAGATTAAACTTTATTGATACCCCAAAGGGGACTTTTTTTCTCACAGCAGCAACAAATAAAACAAGAGAAACAAAAAGAGATCAGTTTTAGTGTTCCTATTTTATTACAAAAGAAACAAAAGCAGGAAATAAAAAGTCATAGTTAAAAGGTTGAATCTCCTCTGACTAACACAGCTGCTGGAGTCTTTGAGTACATGAACTGCACCCATTAGAAATGAGCATTCATCATCAGCCAGGTTCCAAATTCATTTCTAAATTGAAATCATGCATCTACAATTGAGTTGAAATCAGAACTATTTGCTTTGTCATTGAGTTCCTGAATGCTTTTGGGTTTGTGGAAGATCCTGAAAAATGATCGTATGTCATCAGCAAATCTCCTTTTTGTTGGTTGAATGCTAAAAGTTTCCAGAACTTCAGTGTTCACATCAACTTTCACTGTGGAGCTTTTTAATGTCCTGTCAAAGTTAAATCGCAGTGAGCTCTGAAACTTACCCTCAGGTCTCTTTGTTAGGAGCCTGAAGCACTTTATGGGATTTCTAAGATCCTGCCAATCACCAAGATTGTCAGAAATGCGACCAATGAAACCATCCAGGCAGTCATCGAGAAGGACCTTGACAAGTCAGTATACAGCCAGTGGAAAGGTTTCATTTCTCCATGTTTATTAAATATCATTCTGAAGGGGACGTCACATTTATTTTTAGTTCCCTACAAGCTGGCGTTTCAGCCTGCGGTGACTTTTGTCAGCTCTGGTGAATCTCATTTGTCCACTCCAGGCTCCCAGAGAAGCTGGCGGTAGAGTGGCCAAAGGGAAACTCCTTGTCACTAAATGCCACTTATCCTTCAGGGACCGTTTTCGGTAAGGTTTTCATTCAAATGTGTCGCTTTTTGAGAAGCCTAATCCTAAACTTAAACCTAAGCACTAATTTGTTTTCTATGTCACATCATTGCAGGCCCCCTCAAAGTTGAAATACTAAACAGGAAGGGAGACCAGCTGTCCAGGATTCAAACAAAGGGCCCTGGGACACCGATAAAAATGAGTCTTAAACTAGTCCATCATGGTAAGATTGTCCACCTCGCAAAGCAAACCAGGTTTGCCCTAACCCTAAAATGGTCAGAAGTCTAAATGACTGCAGAAAACTATATGTTGAATTTAGACTAATAGCTTGAAACAGAAGGCTGATTGTGGTCCATCCATCTCCTTTTCTACTTTCAATATTTTTTCTTTCACACTAAGGTCCTAAAGGAGATCAAGTGGTTGTCGAGTGTGAGGCACCTCATATAGCTGCTTGTGGATACTGGTTCAAAAAAATTGGTTTGTACTTCTCATTTGTCACTTCTTAACATCCATTTGCTCGGACACCCTCATTTTCCACGTTTGGAGATTATGTGACTAAATTTCTCATCCTTTAGACCATCTAACCAACTTGGGAAAGCACACCCTGACTCTGACCACCCAAGTAAAGGACTTCAATCTCCAAAAGCCTCCAAGCTGGGCGCTGACATTTACCGTCAAAGGTGGAGACGAGCTGAAGCCCGCCGTCTTTATGGCGCTCAGCGTCTTCCTGGAGCCCTCACACTGAAACCTGTCCCTCTTGTGTTTGCCTCAGAGGGGGAGGCAGTCAGCTTCACAGTGGACGGGGTGAGACCCACAGTTCGCGTGGGCGTGCCCTTCCACATTCCCCTGCAGATGAAGGACCGCTTCGGCCACCCAGCGGCGCCGCCTCTCCGCCTCCAGCCTGAACTCAGATGCAGGTGGGTCCATTTCAGTTGGGAGTGCATCTCTTTTGTTTCCTGTTATAAGAGGAATCAAAGAGGATACATCATAGATCTAGAGCAGGGTACAACGCGGGGAAAGGAGGGGGACATTTCCCAACCCTCCTGCTGTTTATTGTTCCTCGGTGATAAAGAGACATGCTTTTAGAGAGCTCTTTGTACGGTGGGATGGTCGTCCTTCTTTGATATATTCTGGGCTCTCAGACTAAACTGCAGATGACATCAGCAGCTAAGTCACTGCTAGGATGCAAAACCTACAAAGCATTTGTTGTGATCTCAGGAAATCTCAGCCATATTCTCCCAGATTTACCCAATTTGTATTTATAAGCTTTTTCTATCATAATTCATTCAATGTCAATAGAATTTAACAGTAAGCATGAATTAAGTATAAAAAGATCAAAGTGACGTAACTGATTTCTGTTTCATTTTTTAAGTGACCTGGATTTGAGTTATATGTCTGTGGACAGCAGTAAGAACACATTCTCCATCAAAGGCGTCAAGGCAATAGGAAAAGTCCGCAGTGATCAGCACTCCGAGGTTAGAAGCAGTCTTTTTCAGACAAGACTGACCTGTCGACAAGAGAGTTTAGGCACGACAGCTCGCTTTCTGTCTTGTTGTATTTTAAAAATACATTTGTTTCTCAGGGTTATGAACTGAGCGTGAAGCTACCTGGACTCCAAAATGATGAGCAGACTATGAGGATCAGCCTTCTTCCCGGTATGGCTGCTTTTATTTATAATTCACAACAATCAAGAAGCGAAATGCACAATGTGTTCTTAAACATTGAAAAAGGGATTTAATAGTTGAAAAGATTACTTTTGCATGGAAAATTTCTCTTTTTTATGTCACTTTATGTGAATCGTTGACAGAAACAAAACCTTGGAAAGTTTCATTAATTTAGTATTTACTTAGATTTGTTAGGCGCTGATAGGTTTGTTGCCTCTTTAGGGGGGAGTGTGCTCATTGGTGTGGTCAGAAAACAAGCTATTGAAACTTATTTGTCATTGCCCAATCCTATTTTGCTTGATGTATTTTTGAGACCAGTGTCACCTTTTTATTTGATTAAAATTGGTTTATTTTGTTTTTAAGTCAGGGAAACAGTTAGAGTTTGATCTGTGCATTTCTACTCAGGCAATAATAATTATGTGTTATGTAGTTTATACAGAGAATATGTGAACATTAAACCCAACATCAGATTTAGGTGGGTTATGAGAAAATGCAAAAAGTTTAAAGACAAAAAGAAAACAAACTTATGTGTTTCCTCAGCAGGTCAGTTGATAAAGCACCAGAACATTTTATACGTCATCTTTGTTGCATTTTTCTAAAACAAATGTTAAAACATTTTTACTCTTTTATTTGTAGAGATCTGCTTTAATTGTCTTTTTGTCAACATTCATCCCTCTTCTTACCTCTTAACAGAACTGAAATTAACTTAGTGGACATACCTTTTCATACTCGCTGTCTCTCAGATGAATGGTTGCAAATGTTTCAGTTTTTATTATTACTTCAGTCTGTAAACTATTTGTCAAACAGCTTTTTTGGAATATTGAAATCTTTTCTGACCCAGGTCATAAGATGGACACATAAACAGTTGCTGCTGATTTAGTGATGCTGTAATTGTTGCGTTCACTTGTCAACACGTAAATATCTCCTTTTCCAGGTGACCCGCATTCCCTTCATGTGAAATCAGAAGCTGCCCAACTGGAGGTTGAGAATGGAAATCCGGCCATTTTTGATGTGGAAATTCACGACCAAGCTGGAAACATCACCGCCAACCCCAAACAGTCAGTTAACTGCCAGGTGTGGAATTGCTTCTGTTGGAAATGACACTATTGGCTCATGGAAATCTCGCTTTTGAACTACGCTGAGCAAGAAATCCCTGTTTTACAACTGTCTGATTGCAGGAGAAATCTAAGGCAACAGATAACAGCGTCTGACATATGCATCTTAGTCCTCTCCTGTTTCTTATGTCATTTCCAGGTTGAGGGGCTCCCGCGGACCACCACGGACTGCAGCAGCACAGGAGCTGGCAGGCTAGTGACACAGCCCATAAACCTGAAAATAACCAACGGAGAGCCACGGACGCTAAAAGTTACATTTGAAATGCCTGTAAGTCAAAGGAAACTGCTCAGCGAGCTGTGTGGCATTGTGGTGTTTCATCAGGGCGGCTCGGTGGTGTAGCAGTTAGCACCATGGCCTCACAGCCAGAGTGTTCTGGGTTGGAGTCCCCAGGGGAACCAGGACCAGAGGGTTCCGGTTCAAGTCCCAGGACCTTTCTGGGTGGAGTCTGCATGTTCTCCTGTGTCTGTGGGTTCTCTCCGGGTTCTCCATCTTCCTCCTAAAGTCCAAAAACCTGCATGTCAGGTTGATTGGACTCCAAACTGGCTTTAGGAGTGTGTGTGGTTGTTGGTCCTTGTGTGTCTCTGTGTGGCCCTGCGGTGGACTGGCAGACCGTCCAGAGTGACCCCGCCTCTCGCCCATTGACGACTGGGATAGGCTCCAGTTCCCCCCCGCAACCCCTATTAGGGAATAAGAGGTTAGGATAATGGATGGATGGATGGTTTTCCATCCTTGTTTTTTTTTTTCTTTTTTCTAGCACCTGAAGAAAGTGGCGCGGTGCTCGGCCGAGCTGAAAGTCTCGCCCAGCCGCCGGGTCTCAGTGATGCGGCTGTACTGTGACGCCGGTGACGGTCAGCTGGCGCTGCAGAACAACGAAAGGCTGGAGCGGAGGGCTGGCGGGGCTCTGGGGAACCTGCGCTACCGGCTGTACGACGAGTCGGGCCGAGAGGCGGCGCTCACCGCCGAGACGGCCTCCGCCATGATGGTTCGTCCGCTCCGTAAATGTCACAGCGAGCCGGCTGTGGACCGAATGTTTAGACCCGCCTGTGCCGGATCTGTTCAAGGTCAACTGGACCAGCGATGTGGATCGCGCAGGTCTGGTCCAGGGGAGGCTGCCCGACGTCCCGGTGCCCACTCAGGTGATGGAGGAACGCTTCTGCCAGGTGTCCTACCAGCACCAAAACGTCTCCTTCACCTTCACTATTGTGTAAGCGGCAACTATGACTCCCAATGGGGCTTTTAGTCAAGGACGTTGAGTCGTCAAAGCCTTTCGCGCTACATTTTTCCCTCTGACTCTTCAGGACATTAAAAAAGCTGCTTTTCTAAGGAAAGCGTCCGGTGTATTCCTATGCAGCCCCCTGCTCCTACCCGGCCTGTTAGCTGAAACCGCTCTGAACTGCCTCTGTTAACGCAGTCTTTGTGGTGCATAAAAAAGATGATCAATTTAGTCTGTAACTCAATTGGATGTTTATTTGGTCAGTCTGTGTCACTTTTCTTAAATTAGGATTTTATTAGAGCAGAGCGGCAATTGGGATATATTTCAAAAATAGAATTTGAGCTGGTGCCCATATTTTCAGGCCCTGTCCAGATGACCCTAAACAGCTGAAGGCCACGCTGCCCCAGGGCACTGTGAAGCTCGGCGAGATCCTGCCAGGACATATTGGTGAGTCTGGGGCCGAACAATCAAAAGAGGCGCTGTCATTTGAGCTGAATCCTGTTTGACACGCAGCGCGTTTGTTAAACAGTTGTGGAGCTTGTGGACCAGTTTGACAACGTGACCCAAAAGTTCACCCCTGATTGTGCGGAGCTCATGACTCTGGAAGCTGAGGGTCTCCACAAATCTGGTGTCACCTACACATGGCAGGTGAGGACAGAACCAATGAATCTGCCAGCAGCTTAGAAGCTTTTTGCATTTTAAATGATTACTTACAGAAGGAAAAGAAGTTTAAGATATAATGTTGGCAGGCCAAAGAAATGCCTCCTCTTTAAAAGATTTAAGATAAAAGCAAGTGATAGATGGAATTTTCTTCTTCGTGATATGCTCCCACATCCTTCTCCTATGAAATATTTAAAGGTAACACGGTTGTTTTCAGATCCTTATTTAAATCAACGGTTTACTTGTTTACATCAATGAGAAAACTGTTGAACTGTTTTGTCTCAAAGTTTCTGGGAATTTAAAAATCAATGTCAACTTGGTGTTTACTTGTAAAGCCGTGTTGGACTGTTTGAGCTGAATGAGGAAATTTCCGCTGAAAATGTTAATTCTTATCCAAAAAGACTAGACTTGTACATTTATAGCAAACTGAACAGACCTTTCTTTTGACCAAACAGGCACAGTTCTGCTGTTACGGCTGAACGGAACGGAACACGTGCCCCCCTCACAGCAGTTTATCCCTTTTTGTTCAGAGCGCCTCTGTTTGGGTGGCAGGAGTGCGCTTCGACTCTGGGCCTCTGGGAGCCAGAGACCTGTGCTTCCACTGTGGCCGCTATGAGGGGAGCTCCAGCCTTAGAGTGACCCCCGGAGTCCCTGCACAGCTTAGACTCATCAGTGGGCCTGAGCAGGTAAAATATAGAAAAGGCTCAGAAACACTTTTAATGTTGGATTGACATAACCTCCCGAGACCCATAAGAAAAATACCTTTGATGTGGAGACTTTATGAGATTATGATGTTATTCTCTTTAGGGGATTCTCCAAGTGCAAAAAGGCCAACCTTATCTCATCTTATCAGACCCTTTCTTACACCTCCAGTCTTTTTACTGTTGTTTTTCTTCTGCAATCTGGTCCTATGGGTTTTTTATAAGTATAAAAATAAAATATATTACTATTCATTGCTCTGTTTAAACAAATAGAGCAGGATGGGAAATGTCTGTGCTGTCATTTACAGCTACAAAAGCAGAATCAGCCACAGAAGTTTACAGACAGAAATCCTAACAGGCCTGAAAAGCACAACTGGTTCATTTGAAATTAGAATTGTATCTCAGTTGTGATTCAGCTCTTATCACCTTTCAGCTCTTATCTTTGGGTCGTGGTCCATCACAGAATATAACGGGAGAGCAGGTTTACCTGACACAATGCCAAATGGCATCTCTGAGCTCTCATTTTTGCCGATTGCTTTCTGAAGATGATGGGATCCCAACAAACTCAAACCGAAAAAATTAGATTAATTCGTGCAGCGATTCCTTTTTTTTAAAAATACACATGCTTTTTTTTAAGCCTTTGCAGGTTTTGAATGGCCGCGGTATCCCCACACCATTCCTAGTCCAGCTGTTTGATGATTGGGGAAATCCCTCACCGGACCAGGAGGCTTTGGTAGAGATCACGCCTTCCTCCCCAACGCTGCAGGTTCGCCATTAGGGGCAGACATTTAGCACAGAGAGGATCCTATTGCATCTTTGCAGGCGTATCATCCTGTGCCTCTCGTGCTTTGACAGGTAACTACAAATGTAATTTCCCAACCTGCGGATGCAGAAGGGAAGGCCTCTTTCAAGGTCAACTTTGTGAGTGGTCCAAAGTAAGTCTTAAACTAAGCATTTTAAACCAAACTGCAGCTCCATCTGCCACCGGTAAGGCTTATCGTACCCTTTTTTTTCCACTAGAGGGTACTATCAGCTGGAGTTTAGGAGTTCCTTGAACAGCATACCAATCTCCAGTACGTCGGTCAACCTCACCGTCATCGCTGACCCCACCAAACCCGTCGGTCTGTCCCTGGAATACGACCCCAGTGCCCAGTTTCCCGCTGGAGGCATCTTCCCAGGTTTGCATTTGAGTCGTTTTAGGATTACGCTGGTGTCCGGCACCGTTCGCCATTTCCGTCCGGCCAACCGACGTCGGCTCTGTGTGCCCAGCTTTCTCGTTGGTGGTGGTGTCTGACGAAGGAAGCCCGGTCACAACGTTCAGCCCGACCGCCGTAGCCATGTTTGTGAAGAGGGAGGAGCCATCGACACAGACAGTGAGTGGCTGGCTAAAGAGAGAGAGAAAGTGAGAAAACCCCTCTAAGTTTCTATTGTTTAGCTTAATCCCCGCTCGTCTCTTGTCCAGGTGACTGAGCTGAAGTGCAGTAAGCCGATGGAAAACGACAAGCCGGACCGTTTTTACTTCAGGTACCAGGCCAGGTCACCTCCGTCTCTTTCTGAAGAGTCTGGGAAGGAGCCCTCAAAGAATTTATCTGTGACCGTCGGCACGACTTATGTCTGAACATGGCCGCCTGGCTTAGCAAAACACACGTCGTAGACCCAATCTAGTATCCGCTGACCGGTCATGACCAGTCACAGAACGTTATCTGTCGTCGAATCGAACCAGACAGCCAACACGTAACTCCTCTTTAGTAACCGCAAAGATTGCATGTGTTTTTTTGTTGTTTTTTTTGCTGCAGAGACAAAAAAATCCCAGAACGTATTGGAAAGTACATCGTAGACTTCTCATTGAGCGTCGACCAAACCAACGTCCTGCGCAGCGAACAGGTGCGTTTGCACGTCGTCAGAGGAGCCCCGCAGCTACCCAAGAAACCTCCCCAAAGTGTACTCACTTTAATACCAGAAGTCCATCCTGCCGCTTTAGCCAAACACTTGTCCAGTGAAACGCTTTATTGCTTTTGAAAGACTTCCTTCACATATGAAATAAAAGCATGAGAAAACGTCAGGGGTCAGAACTTTCTGGACTGGAACCCATAAGTGTAGTAACTCAATCTGAGTGTTTCTGTCAGCCTAATAAATGTTAGTTATTCATTTGGGATTTTCCCAGTTTCAGCAAGACAAGCGTTGCAAAGTTGCACAAGAGAGGAGGAAGGAAATAAAGAAAGGCGTGATGTTTTGAAAATAAACATCTGGGTTCACTTGACTTTTTTGATGAACTTCTTGGGGAAACTATCACAAAATACAACGCGTTAAACTGCTCTCACTCTGAAAGTGAGAGGCGAAGCACCAAATCACTGGTCCCTCTAACAGCAAGCGATCTTCTCCATTTCTCAGATCTGTGTAGATGTCGTGGCCAATCGGCCGGTCCAGCTGGCCCCCGACTCCCCGCCGGCCCCGCCCGTGGTCTCCCACAGTGGAGACGTCTCCGGACGAACCCTGGTCAAGAGCATGACTCTGCAGATTCAGGTAGAGCTGGGTTCATCCCCGGCTGTTTGCGTGATTTACACGTCTCTAAAGCAGCCAGCGTGGTAAGCAGGTCCCATCGGGTCGCCATGAATCATTCCAGGATGCGTTTGGAAACCCGACGGGGCAGGACCTGAGCGGGACGGTTGTGGTCTGTATAAAGCGCCCCGATCCAGGCAGAGACATCCCGCTGTTTGAGCGGAAGATGGACCGCGTTTCCGTCAGCTTGGACAAAGGAAGAGCCCACATCCTGGTGAGCAACAGTACTCGGGGGACATGTGTTTTGTCTTTGGAGAGAACAGCTCCTGACCATTATGTTCTTCCACTCTCAGGGCTTGGCTATCATGGAGAACAGCCCCGGTGAGAACGACAGCCAGTACGTCCTCCTCTTCCAACCTGAGGTTCCCATGGTCTCCCTGTCTCCTTATGAGCTGCCCTTCCATTTTTACTATGGTACAGCATAAAATAAGCCCTTTTGTAATACAATATAAGAGGCTGTCCTAATGGTGTGGGAGGCTGGGGTCGAAATGATCAGCTATCCAATGTATAATGTATATGTAATATTCACGCGTCAGATTCAAAACATATCGTAAAACATCCAAAAATTAAAACGAAACTGCCTTCATTTTTGTTTTGTTTTTCTGTTTTAGATTCAGAGAACCTTGGAAAAGTGACTCGCCTGAACAAAAACAAAGAAGAGCTCAGGAACACATTGGCACAATATGAAAAATTGATGAGTTCACATGAGGCTCTTACTAAGCTGCTCACATGTAAGATTTCTATTTTACCTCAATAAAATATTTGCTCAATATTTAATCCAATCTGCTGCCTAGATTTCTGATGTTCTGTGTAGCATGAAATACTAAAACACATTTTTCTTTAAATTTGGACCACTTGGCTAACTAACATGGGCTTTGAACAGCACTTCCTGTATTTTATTTGTCTTTTATATTGTATGCCTTCTAAAATAAGTCTATTACATTAGGTCAAGTCACATCTACAAATCAGAAAGAGGTTGCCCTGAGCAAAGAGCTAGTGAGAAGGAACATGGGCATTGTGGGACCTTTATCTGTAAGTTACCGCCCCCCCACCCCCCCACCCCCACCCCGTTCTCTATTTGGATTTGTTTTACTGGAGAAGAAATGTGTGCATTTGTAATTCTTTGAAGACTCCAGATATCGACAAGCTCCTCCAGGAGAAGAAAACTCAAGCTGAAAATCTTCAAAAAGAGACTCGAGTGTCTTCCATCCCGAATATCTTCAGTGGACCTGACGTCCTGGGGAAGGTAACACCAACGTTCGGAGCCTGTTTTTGCTTTTGTTTTTGGCAAATGTTTTGTTTTTTTAATCAGTTTTTGCTGACACAGGTCGCCCACCTGGCCGTTGTCGAGGACGACGAGGCTGCGCGGGTCGTCTCCTGGCACCTCAGAGGCGACATGGACTGCGTCGTCACGACGACCACGGAAGCGGCGCATAGAATCCACCGAGATACCCGGGGAAATCAACAAGTCCTGCCCCTGGACGGCGTCTTGGAGGCAGACGACAGGTACAGCAGGAGTGTCGTCTCCCCCACCCTCCACCCTCCACCCCACCCCGTCTCATTTCCCCTAACTCTGACGCCCCCTGCAGACCGCTGCCACACCTCAGGAACAGCTTCAGTCTCTTCGACCCCCCTGGGAACCCGGTCCATGCCAGAAAGCTGTTGATTTACCCCAATGAACAGGAGAAATGCAACAAGTGTGAGTTTTCCTCCCTGGCTTTAAACCTTCTTCTGGCTCTGTGGCTTCCCAGAGGCCTTTGGGGTATCTGAGGGTTGTCGGTTGGATGTCTCCGTCATGCGCCCACCGGTGACTAAACGCTTCCACCTGGGATCCAAACTCCCACGAGGGGGGAGGGGTCCTTCTTTAGTGGTTGCGTAGACATTAAGCCTGTTTCCCCGCATTACAATTGACTCTTGTGTTTCCTTCCCAGTGTTTAAAAACCTGCTCGGAGAAACGATTCTGATGGACGACCTGGATTCGGCGACCCGCTACAGAAGGATGGTGAGTGACGCCGACAGGGCGCCGCCCCGCTAACTTGGACGGTGGCGTGAACTGTTTCGCTGCCCGCAGCTGGTGGAGAGAGGGATCCGCTGTCCCACCATACTGACCAGACACGGAGACATGGTCAGCGCCAAAGGGAAGTTTGGAGGCCGTCAGAACAGAGCCCCGCCCCCCGACGGCCGGGCGTTCGGAGCCCCTCTGCCTCAACCGTTCCACACCCTGAAGAAGGACATGGGTGGAAACTCTGTTCCCGCTCGAAGGCACGTTTTTCAGCCCTCCCTCAGTCGAGCCTATTCTTGAATCCTTGTCTTTTCTTTGGCACAGAGCTGCTCGCTCAGTACCGTGAGGCCATAACAAAGGCGAGGATGGCAGAAAAGGACCTAGATGATCATGCACAGAAAGGCCAAGCTCCTGAAATGCAGCGAAAGCGAGAAAAACAGGAAGAGTTAAAGAAGCAGCTGGATGAAATTGACAGAGAACTTGGTAAGTTCTTTTTTTTTTCATCATCCACTTATGTGATGCTTTTCGTACTGGTGATTTTAATAAGATATCCATGTTCCTTCTCCAGCCTTCTTATCAATGAGATCTGGGAAACGGGTTCCCGAGAGTGCTGGTGAGCCGTCAGGAATTAGTCCAAAGAAACCAAGACGCACATAAGAGAGAATCTCTTCCAATGCTTTGGACACCAGCTCCTTATTATGTGTTCCTTTTTATATTGGGGTATTTTCATGTAGTTATTATGGGGCTAAAGGGTAATTTAGAAATTGTATACAGAGGATGGTTCATTCTGTGCTCAATCATTCTATAAAATCAGAACAAGCAATAACATTTCCCTTGTGTGTGTGTGTGTGTGTGTTTGTGTCCTGAATTTAACTGAATATCAAAAAGTTGTGAAAAACCAAATCCAATTCAAAGTAAGTCAAACGTTAAAACAGAGCTCTTATGACGCAAAAGCTAAAGTCTCCTCTCCAACATGTCAGGGAACGATGTGGGCCAGAGAAATGGGCTGTAGGTGTGTGGGGAAGTGATGTGATGAGAAAACGAAAAGCAGCATCTGTCATTTTTAGCTGTGCGCACAGCGGAGAAAGAGCGCACAGCAGAGCTCCAACTCCACAAGCCACGACCTGGAGGGAAACCGCTGGATTTCCCAAATCTTTTCCCCTGCCACTCCTCAACTTTTTAGTAACAGTTCATCTCATCGGCGGGTCACCTTTCCAGTACGACATGTTCCGGGGAAACGCGTATTCTGGCACCGAATCGCGACAAAGAACAAGGTGAGGGGTCCCGTCGGTCGTCCGTGCTCTGTGTCACGTTTGGAGGGAGCTGAAGTGGGATAACAGGGTTCCAGTTCCCGGCGCAGCCAGTGAGGACACCAGGGGAAAACTAAAGCAGCCCTTTTTTCTGCAGAAATTGGTGCGCCTACATTGTGCCTACGTTGTGCCTTTGTTTGCCGTGTCCGCAGGAGCTGCCAGAACACTTGGTCATTGGGCGGATATCATTTCATGTTGTTCCTGATTTTGACCAGATGAGGCCATTCCACGCACCTCCACTCTCTCCATATGTTCTTTTATATGATTTGAATTTGTTTTGTTTCACAGATCCACTTTTTAACCATAACTTGGAAATCCAGAAGGCAGCATGAATGTAGACAGCGTTCATGGCCTCGTTGCCTTGAGTTTTTAAGCCTCTGTTTAATTTGCTCATTAACACATTAAAGGCAGGCAGGAGGACTCAGCTGGCCAACAGTGTCCTCGTGTTTGCAGAAAGAGCAAAATAACTTCATCCCCAATTAAATGTCTTTTGATGGCAAATGTGCCGTTTTTATGCATATATTCTATTTGCGGTCAACAGAAAGATTTGAGCTATTCTGCTTTTTGTTTCACATCAATGTTCCAAATGTAAGAATCAAAAATTTGCTATGTATTTAATGTGCATTTTAGCCTGTGCTAGGGAAATCAATATATGTATAATCACTTTCTTAATTTCTCTCTGGTAACTTTCCACAAGTGAATATTTTAAAGGTTATTTTTCTTTCTCATGGGACTCATTCCTCCTTCTAGGTCTCAGAGAGGGTGTCCTTATACTTTGTCTCTGAATGTTTTGTCTGGAGGATTGTTTAATA